GTAGTTCATTCTTTTTTTTATTATTGAGTAGTATTCCATTGTATGGTTGTACAATTGTTTATCCATCTTACTGTTGATGAACATCTGTATTGGTTCCATCTGTGAGCTGTTATGATTAAAGCTGTTTTTACCATTCTTCTAGGGATCTTTTTTGATATGTTTTCATTTGTTTGGTTAAATACCAAAGAATGAAATTGCTAAATCAAAGGATAGATACTTTTTTAAAAAAGAAGATTTTATTTATTTATGCCTACAAGAACTGGGGTGCAGGCCAGAGGGGCGGGGTGTGGTGTGGGGAGAGAGGATTCACCAGAGACAGAGTGGAGAGCAGAACAGGTGGATCTACTGAAATACACTTCTGAGCGGAGCAGCGGGTGAGACAGGAGAGGTCTACTGCACTGTGTGGGTTATCTCCCTGGCTGGTGACCCTCTGGCTGCAGTGGCTGGTGATTGCTTGACAGTGCTGAGACTTAACCCTTTGCGCTACCAGGAGGCCTGATACGTTTTTAACTTCAGAAGAAATAGCCAAATAGATTTCCACTAGCAATCTATGAGAATTTTGGTTGCTCCAAAAAGCCAGTATGTCTCAAGTTGTCAAACAATTTAACTATAATCATTCTAGTTTGTGTGAAGTGATGTTTCGCTGTGGTTTGAATTTGCATTTTTTTGTTGACTAGTGATACACAGCACTATTTGACATGCTTATTTGCCTTGTGTTTATCTTCCTTATCCTTGTGAGGTATTTATCCCAATTTTATGCTCATTTAAAAATTTTTGGTTCTTTTATTGTTATTACTGACATATAAGAGGTCTTTGTATATTCTGAGTACAATTCCTTTGCCAGATACAAGTCTTCTGAATTTTTTTTCCCAGGCTGTAGCTTGCCTTTTCACTTTTTTATTTTTTTTTTTTAATTTTTTATTTTTTTTATTTTTTTTATAATGTTACATCTTTAAATGAAAATATTGAGCTTGCTTTTGCAAAATACACACACACACACACACACACACACGCACACCCCTGATGTACACTTCAAAACTGCCAAATGTAATTCCTGATCAAAATCTTCAATATAATATACCTTGTGGTTACCTGGGTCAGAAACTATATATTTACACAAGTGATGATGGTAAATAGCAGATTACAATTTTTTTTCTGCATTGAATGAAAACTGCTTTCTTGTCCTTTATCTAATAATTTGATCCTTGATCTTTGAATATCTTACTTCATAGGTTTACCATTTTTAAAATATAATAACTCCTTGACAAATGCAACATTAAAGTGTTCTGTGATAAGGAATGGATTTTGAATCCTTTCTGTACACAGAAGCTATTTTAGTTTTGATGGAGTCCATTTTTTTTCTTTTTGTGGTTTATGCATTTTGTGTTTTAAGAAACTGAAATCATTTGGAGAAATTCTTCAACAATTTCTTCTATGAGTTTTATGATTTGGGTGTGTACTTTTGGATCTCTAATCCATCTCAAATTAATTCTTTTGTTTGAGCTAAAGTAGTGATGTAGGAATAATTTTTCACTTCTTTCCATATGAATGCCTGTTCTTTTAGCATCATTTGTAGGAAGATTTTTATTCTCCATTAAATTGTGCTCGGTGTCTATCTTAAAAATTAATTGATTGGTAATAGAAATTGTGTCAAATTCTCAACTCTCCCTTTGGTTTCCTTGAATCTTTTTATTCATTGTCACACCAATCTAATTGTCTTAATTAATGTAACTTGTTCTAAGTCTCAAAGTTGGGTAATGGAATTCCTACAAAGTTGCCCTTAAGATTGTTTTAGACCATATAGGTGCTTACTATTTACATATACAATTTAGAATCACCTTGTCAAATTCTAGTCCCAAAATGGCAATGTTTTCAATAGAATCATATTAAGTCCAAAGACACATAGGGATTTTTAACTCCTTAACAATACTGAACTTTGCAATTTATTGTGTTATCTACCATTCCATTTAAATTATCATCAGCAAAGAGAGGCGTTGGTGTTATAGGTCAGACTGACATTAGCTTTCAGAAAGTTTATTGAAGAATCTTCTAGTGGACAAATACCAAACCCTAGTGTAGCTCCCATCCAAGTCGTGGGATCGTAATGGATGTTGGTGGAAGTTGCAGCCAGGAAAAGGGGAGGACTATTTGGATGGGTAGATTCCCCCCGGGATACTCTTTTTTTTTTTTTGTTTTTGTTTTTTAAATTTTTTTTTTAATAGAGGCATGTTTTATTTATTTATTTGTTTGTTTGTTTTGTTTATACATGCACTGGGTACAGTCAGAAGCGCGGGAGGGTGAGAGAATTCACCAGAGCCAGAGCGGGGAGCAGAGCAGGCAGAAGGACCGAAGTACACTGCTGAGGGGAGCAGCGGGCGGCAGGAGAGGTCTGCGCGCCATGTGGGACCCTCCTCCGGTGGCCGGGGAGCGGCTGGGGATCGAACCGGCGCCGCAGAGGCCGCGGGCAGCTTCGCAACCCAGCGCTCAACCGCTGCACCACCGGGGAGGCCCTACCCCAGGGATACTCTTGATGGGAGAAGAGAAGAAGGATAAGAGTTGATTGCTTTTTCCCAAGAATAAACTTCAACTCTTCTATAAAAAAAAGGAAGTGGGATTAGCCAGGAGTAGAAGTTGGACTTAAAATGCAGTCACAGGGCTTCCCTGGTGATGTGGGGTTAGAGACACAGAACTATCATGTTATCACCAGCCACTGCAACATGAGTTCAATCCCTGGCCAGGGAGATGACCCACATGGTACAGCAGACCTCTCCTATCTTGCCTGCTGCTCCCCTCAGCAGTGTGTTTCTGTAGATCTGCCTGTTCTGCTCCCCACTCTGTCACTGGTGAATTCTTTCACCCCCCGCACCTCTGGCCTGTACCCCAGTTCTTCTATACATAAATAAATAAATCTTTAAAAAAATAAAATGCAGTCACAGCAAAGGTGTCAGCTTATCTGACGGGAATAGACTTTGGTATAGACTTTGAAATTTGTCCTGAAGTGGAACAAAGTAATTGGCGTTTACAGCTTGTTCTGATCAGTAGTTGGTTGCACATTGCACTGGGACAGTTATAGCTTAGATGAGGTGGCCCTGTTTAACTGAAAGCTCACATTTGAGAGCTCATAGCCAACAACATGTGGGCAGTTAGGAGAACAATTCCATCAGTACTGAAGACCTGGGTTACTGGGATGCACAATTCTGCATCTACTATATTTCATCCTTTTTGCCACTTAAATCAACTTGCTTTATAAAATTTCTGGGAACAGATCCATCAAGCTTCTGATGAACCTCATTTACCAGAGGAAATGTGTTGAAGGAAGTTTAGTGGGATGAACTATATATAAACTATCACTGGTAGAGGCTCTTGGCCACAACTGACATTCACCATCTCCATGCTCTACTAGCCATTCAAGAGTCTGCTCACCACTGGCTATCCATTCAGCTTATTCAGGAGTTTTATTTGGTAACATTATGAAGAAGTGCATATCTGAGGGTTAAGGGACTGGTCACTATATCATTCATATAATGGTGAAAATGTGTTAAAGGGAGCACTAAAAATGTTCAAGCGTGTCTTCTGCATGCGAAACTTATTCCTTCCTTGTGGAACAGCAGTGCTGTCTCCTTGGCATAATCAAGGACAATTACCTCTCAGATCAGTGACTCCTTTGTGTTTCTGCCGGCTTCTTTGCGTGAATTCAGAGTGCCTCAGCAGTAGCTAGAGAATGAAATTCATTGAGACTTTTGCTGGCACCAAATGGAAGAGTTAACTATTTGGAAATATCTCCGAAGACCTTCATAGAGCTCAGTATTGCAAGGGCCAGGAGCCTGGGTTAAGAAAAGTGATAGTAGAAAGTTAAATCTATTTGTATCATGGATTCTGAACCAAGATTTCTACTAATTGAAGACATGGCATTACTGTGTTGGTATCTTATCCTAGCATAGCAACATGCATGAGGTGGTTTCTCAGTTGCAACTTGTACAAGTCACTTATTAGAAGGTCAGTCTGGCAACTTCTGGGGGCTGTGTATACATCAGGACCAGGGGTCCCATCATTGTCTACTCATCACCTGCTTCTTGCTATAAATAGAGTCCCTCAGTTTCATGCAGTGCTTATGCTTGTGGATATAACATTCTGAAAGCACTTGGATATTAATGCTACAAAGGTCCTACGAAGCAGAAGAGGCAAAGTTATACCGGATATATGTCAATTCCAGTTAAGATGATTCACTGTCCCTTTCAGGATAAAGGTATTCTAATGTCATCAAATTGCTGCTAAGTGGCTGTTTGGTTTCTTCCTGGCATGATGCCATGTTAAAGTAAGCATTGTTCTGTTTCTGGGAGGATGGATGTTATCTATCTGTTAATTGAAGTATTTAGTCTACTTACAGTTAATAAGATTATGATTGGGTCTAGGGCTTTTATTATGTGATTTGTTTTTCATACATTTGTTCTTTTTCCCTACTCTGTGGCATTAGGAGGTTGCTGCCTCATTAAATTAATTATCTTCAGTTGGATTATTCATGTACCTTTAGAAATTCACTTTATATTATATAATTAATTACACTTTATTTTTTAAATAAGATATCTCTTTAACTTATCACTATTGTACTAATGCAATATTCTATCACCTCTTATAAAATGTAAGAAATTAATGACAATATACTCTCCTTACCCTTCTATTTTTGTGCTGTTGTTTCATAACATTTACTTCTAAATATCTTAAAACCTTAAAAGATGTTATTACTAGTTACTTTGACAGTCAATTCTTTTAAAAATTAAGAAAGCATAAAAGCACATTTTATATTTAACCACATACTAATCATTCCTTTTCTTCAAATACGTTTGAATTTCTATATGCTATCTGTTCATTCAAGAGAACTTTCTTTAGTATTGATTAATTTTAAATCTGCTGGTGAGAAATTGTTTCAGCATTTGTTTAACAAAAATATGTGTTTTTCTCTGTTTTTTTTTTTTTTTTATCATCCTGGCTACAATATGGAGAAGGAAGACAGAGATGAAATGTGGTGGCAGCCGGGATCTGAGCAGTGGTGGTGGACATAGAGAGAAGGGAAGAGATGCCAGAACCATGTAAGAAGCTGGATCCAATAAACCATTTCTTCTTAGGTTTTTAACATGTAAACATGGGTCCTGTATGATCTGACCTGTGGATCTCATGAGAACTTTCAGTAAAGACATTTTTTAGCCTAATTGGTTGACACACCAGCAATAATATCCACTGACCCCCAGTTGATCCCTTCCTGCAATCTCTTCTGTTTAGGAGTCAGGCTTTGAACAATTAGAAATTACAACTGAAACTGAACAAATTATATAATTTTGAGGGTAGCAAATGATGCTAAAATTAAATCATGAAATTGAATTCATGAAAGATTTACTGACAACAGGAATGGGGTTGGGATTTAGGCTTCAACAAAGCTTCCACGTGCATCTAATTTAAATTTGAGTCATTTCACTAGTCATTGACCAGCTGTGGATCTTCTTAAGGAATTAATGCCTTTAATTTCAACTTCATGTGACCCATGTTTGCTCATTTCTCCTACCTCCCTTCTCATCATCTCATTCTTGGCCCCATGCCCTCCCCACCCCCTGACTGGGTTCACTGACAACCACACCTACTACTACTAGCTACTCTACTACTACTAGCTACTCACATCTAGCTACTCTCCTGCCCGTCACTTTTGATCTCTTAGCCTCTGTTGTTGTCTTTATAGGCTTATCTTTTTCTCTAGATAGAATAAATAGAGGAAGTATGTTAATTTGAAAAGCATTTTATTTATTTTTGTTAAATATATTTATTTTCTTACACCACTGTTCGTTGTTGGATAGTATTTGATTTCTACCCTCAGGTATAGTCCCCATATTTTATACTACCAAAGCACCTGAAAAAAGCATGACTATGTTGTTAAATAAATTTTGGCTTGAATCTGAGCTGTGTGACCTCAGGAAAATTTCTTTAATCTCTGAGAGCTTCAGTTTGCTCAACTCCATGGTATAGACACCACCACTAACTTTCAAGAGGTCATGCACGTGAAAGAAAGGGAAGATGAAGTACAGAGCCCAACACAGGTGTGGATTCCTGTAACTGCTCTTTCCTTGGTCTTTTTGTCTATAGTCTTAGCAAAGCATGTGCAGCTGAAATATCACCACCCTCTTGTGATTCCTACGTTTAAGGATTGAACCTTGGTTGTGTGTGTGCCCAACACCATTTTATAGCTATTTATTTGGGGAGAGTAATTCAACACCTGCTATTCCATATTGGATATAATCATTTTCTCTTTTCTTTGTAAGAAGAAATACGTACCTTTGAATTGTGGCATATTCTTTTTTGAGCACTTTCATCCGTTAACTCCTATTTTGCAAATGTATTAACATACATGACGGTAATCAGGGCAGAAGGGGAAATTTAAATTTTATTTTCCAATAAGGATTTTTAGCCTCAAGGAGAGTGATTTTGGCTTAACCATCTGGATTGGTATCTAGTTTTCAAATTTTTATTTTAGCATTCTGTCCACTGTGCAATGCTGTCTCATAGGAAAAAAAAATCTGCTCTTTAAGTATATATTTCTGGCTTTTCATTTTTGTTTCTGAAATTTGTTTAAGCATATGCTTTATTTTTGCAAGTTTCAATTTATCTGCAATTTCAAAATGTTTTATTAGTTTTTCCTTAGGCTTTTCCTTTTCTGGTTTTGTTTCTTTCGCACATTATGAGAAATTCAATGTCAGATGTGTCTATTTTTATAACAGACCTTATTAGCAAATTATATGAAAATATGAATGACCACTTTTATTTTAATTAAAATTTTGATATGGATGTTAAAAATACCAATACAATTTTAGATTTTATAATGTACTTAGAAAGATATTTCATATTGTTATGATTATAAGCTTCCCACTGTTGTTAGTATTAATATGGCTATCTCACCACAATCTCAGGATCATCTTAGACTCAAAGCTTCCAAGGACAAGTAATGACCACTTGTCTTGTTTAACCACAAGTCCATACTATAATAGTTGGTGCATAGTAGGTGTTTATTAAATTCTTATTAAAGAGTGAACCATGAATACTCATTAGCTCTTATATGGAAATCTACATAGAATTCTAAGTATCACATTTTAAGAAGGTCATAATAAATTAGACAAAATATAGATAAGTGGTGATGATGGACATAGAATGGTTGAAGTAGAGATTAAGCTAATATGAGACCCTAAAGAGGGCATATGATAACTACTTTACAACAGTTGAAGTTATGTTGGTTGGGTGGTCGACTTCCTCTGTGTTACTTCATGCTTTATGAATTATCACTAGGTCTAATGGATGATGTTTAAGAGAGGCAAATTTTGACTCGACACAAGTGGGAATTCTCCAGATAAAGATATCCAACTAGAAACAAAGGTCTTAAGGTTTTAGTGGGCTCCATAGCTTATCTTGGTTCTAGAGACACAGTTTGTCTCTGGAGCAATTTGTGTTATCATTTGGGATAACAAACAGGATGGGCTTGAAGTTTAATCTCAAATAAAATTTTAAAAAATGTGATTCTATCATTCAGCAAATGTTATAGAAATTCTGATATGTGAAAAACCCCAGTAAATTGTTTTACACTGTAAAAAGAGAGAGGACTATTATTCAAACTATCACATCGCAACAGATGTGGAAATCTATTTGGTATTAGGGATTCCTTTGAGCGATGATCTACCAGAAGTGATTGAGGCATGGGAGTACCTGCTCTGCTCCCATGCATATACACACATGAACACATGGGGAAAAAAGAACACAGAAAGCTTCAAAACACTGTTGACCTGGCAGGTTTTTGCAGAAAATTAAAATAATTCTTTTTCAAAGGACTGTCAAAGTTTCAGGAAGTAAATTATCAGAGCAAAAGATACTCAAAACAGAGACCATGGAAAGCAAAAAATACTTAGCTAAGGAAGGATTGATTGTTCCTTGTGACTTAAGCTAAGAGCAATCCACAAAACATTTTTATTTTTGTGTTTTTGTTTCTTAGGAAGCACATGGCTTCAGACTGTAGGAGATCCCAGGCCCAAGGCCTGGCCCACGGGTGCAGGTTTCCCCAGCAATCAGACATTGATACAGACGCCCTTAGGACTGACAGATGGGCTGGGGTGCACCGCCTTTCCATCTGAGGGTGATGGTTCATTGCTCCCACTCTTAACTTCAGGGCTCCCAGAGGATCTGGGTTCCAACTCTGGCCTCAGCTGCTTCTGGGACCCTCATTGCCTTCCACCTACACAGGCTCCAAGCTGGTCCCGCAGGACTGGAGGGAGAGCCAAGAAGAGCACCTCAGGGCAGCAGCATAACTATTTCCCTTGCACAAGCACTATCACTTTGCAAAATGTATGCATGTCTAAAATTACTAGTCCCAGGGAACCCTGATGGCTGATGGGCCTTGGGGAAGACCCCCAGCTCCCAGACCACCATTCCCATAAACAAAACCAATTCTGGGCCTTGAGGTCCCCACCAAAGCCTGGCTTTCTTCCTGGTCCTATCCAGGGGGAGACTGTCACCATGCTTTCTGTGATAGCTGCCCCCACTTGATGACTGCTCAAGTGGTGGGAACTGACCATTCTGTCTTGGGGAGAGAGGGCTGGGATTTTGGGGCCTCAGTAGCCCTCTTTATGAGAAGGCATCCCCATAGTGGGAGGCCTGGGAGAAGCAGGGAAAGGACCCTCTATTGTAGGACCTGGCTGGACCACCTGCCTATTCCATTCCATCTTCTGGCTTCTGAAGTTTCATGTCACAGCCTGTTCCCTGGCAGGTATTCTTCCCTGGGGAAAGCTCCAGTGCCCATCCAGTTCCTGTAAACTGGCTTCTGGGGCTTCATGAAGGAGCAACCGCCTCAATTTCTGTAGCCCATGGATACTGCAGGGCCTGATTCGCAGACATTCTTAGTTCCCTTACCATTCTGAGCTGTGGGGCCTGCCTGGATTCCCAGCCCATTCCCCTTCCCATGTCTAAATCCCAACTTTATAGTTTTATGTCCCCCCTCCACCAAAGCCTGTCACAAAACCATTTTGAACTGTGAGACCAGTTTGGGGAGCGGAGACAGGAACTGAAGTGGGGATATCCCCAGCTTCACCCTTCTACACCATGAGCCCTCTCCTTCCCTCCCACCTGCTCCATCTGATCTGGCCTGACCAGAATCACCCAAAGAACATTTTCAGAAAAAACTTTCAAAATATAATCTTTCCAAAGTTTCCTTGCCCTGGTGTGCTTTGCACACAATTTTTGAGGGCACCAAATTGCCCTTTGAACTGCCATTAGCAAGTGTGCAGCATAATTTAATACAAAATTACCTATTCATTTGAAAATGGTGACACAAAGAAATTTGAACTTTCTCAGCCTCAACAGCTTGTGAGTACACACAAGGTCATTCACATGTCTAAATTAGTAAGAAAGGTGATTACCCTTGTCTACTAATAACACATGTACTTGAATGTCCTGCAAAAACTCTGAACTAATGCATGTTGGTTTCTAAGGGTCTGTCCAATTTTCAAAAGAAAAACACTTACAGAAACATAACTCGACATTGTCAAAGTCTCTGTATGGCACCACCTCCTTGCTGTGTCCACTGGTCAAGCTGGGGGTCCTGAGATCTGGAATGTTCTGCCACTGTTTTGATCAGAGCAGTGGTCTTCTTATGACTACCCCAGTTCCACCTGTCATAGAGGGTGTATTTGCCACTCTCTGGCACGGTAGACTGCCAGCATCTCCTTCCCGATGGGATGGCTGCCTCCAGACTGACAGCATAGTGACCACTGCAGCTGCTCTTCTAGTGCCATGGCTCCTTACCCACTTTAGAATGTCCTAGCCTTGGGCCTCCCTGGTGGTGCAAGGGGTTAAGTATCAGCACTATGAAGTTAGCAGCAGCCACTGCAGCACAAGTTCAATCCCCGGCCAGGCAGCTACCCACATGGCACACTAGACCTCTCCTGTCTCACCCACTGCTCCCCCTCAGCAGTGTATTTCAGTAGATCTGCTTGTTCTGCTCCCCACTCTGTCTCTGGTGAATCCTCCCCACTCCCCTCTGGCCTACACCCCCAGCTCTTGTATGCATAAATAAATAAATCTTAAAAAAATGTCTTTAAAATGGACAAGCCTTCCTTGTGAGCTCACAAAAAATGGAGGGAACTTTTCTCCATAATCTCCTTTCCACACAACTTTGGAATCCCAGGGGGCTCAAGGAACTGCTAGATGAGAATGGCTCTGCCCAGCCAAGCAAGAAGGAAGGCACAAGTATGTGACAGAGTTTAGTAAGTCCACATTTTTAGTATACTTTGAGATTCTCTTTCCTGATTTTATGAATATGCTCTGAATATGAATATCAGATTTTTATCACAGCAGCAATGCAAAATTCAGAACATCCATTCCCTTCTGACAACTAAGGTCTTAAAAAGTTGGTCAAATTCATGGTGCCAGATCCATGTTACCTGAAGAATAGATCTTTCATATGGGGATCTTACTCTCTATGCAAATAGATGCTTATTAGTTTGGTAACATTTATAATCTCCCAAATGATCCATTGCATGTGAATGTCCAAGAGTAAACACAATATAGATAGATATGTGCTGTAGGGAAGGACAGGAACACTTTTGGAAAAAAATGTTTGGTGTTTGGAAATCATTGCTAAAGTACTTGTATTTCCTGGTATACATTTCAGAAATAATCTATAAAGCATGCTTGAAGCTCATGTTATGGAAAAATCAAATAATTGTGATTGATTGTATAAAAGTTACCTTAGCTTGACCATATATTTTTTTCCTTCTAGAATATCTGCAGTAATTTCTCATTACTGTCTAAAGCTAGTACTGATTGGCTAAAGAAGATGCTGTCTCATACCCTTTGTGATTCCTGTAATATAATTTGGAACATATACTGATTCTTCACACATGTGAGTAATGACATTGGGAAAGATTCTTATCTTCAATTAAATGAATTTCCTACTGTAAAATTTGATACTGTATCTTGATAACACTTTTTTTTTAAGTAAAACTTCAGTATTCATTATTAGGCGATCTTATATGAGTGGAATTATAGTTTAGATTCATTCTCCCATAAACATATACAGAGTGACTTTTTTAGATACTGTTGAATTTTTTGGATGTAAATGCATTAAGATGTTTTAGATTAAGCACAAATGGGACTCCTGACACCATAAAGGTATTTTCCAGGAATGGAATTTAGATAATGTCATATTCTCACTTCACTTAGGGACATGTTGGATAGGGCACATTGCTTCTGGATTCTTCTCTTCCATGTCTTATATAGTGAAGTATGACCAAATCCAAGTGATATGGACTGATGATTTGTGTTGCCCTCAAATTCATATGTTGAATTTTAATCTCCAAAGCAATATTAGGAAGTGGGGGGCCTTGGGGGTAATTAGATCACAAGACTAGAACCTGGTGAAGGGGATTAGTGTCCTTGTAAAAGAGACCAAGAGCTCTCTGTCTCTTTTTCTCTGCCATGTGAAGACTCAACAAAGTGTCTGTGTATGACCCAGGATCCAGCCCTCTGCAGACACCAAGTCTGCCAATGTTTGGTCTTGGATTTTTCAGCCTCCAGAATTGTGAGAAATAAATGTTTGTTGTTTTAGGCCTCTTGTCTATGATGCTGTCTCCTTCCTGGTCAATAGGAAAGTTCTGTTTTCCTCTGCTTTTGAAGTTAGGGGTGGCATATTTTGGGGAGTGAAGACTATGGGTGTCATTTTAGAGCAGAAATGTAAAGAAACTCTTTTGTCATAATCCCCCATTTCTTGCCTCAACCATATGGAATTGTTGTTGAGATGGTGATTTTGTCTACCTGAAACATTAATGTTCCTACAGTAACCTGCAAGGCATGGACAAGGTGAAAGAAAAATAACCCTTTGTTATGAAAAACTACCGAGATTTGGGTGTGCTTGTTAGAATACAGCCTAGCCTAGCCTGATTAGTATACTCATTAAAGTAAATTAAAAAACTAGTTTCTTGGCATATGATCCTATTTAATTTATAATCACTTATTGAAATCTTCTGTGTATAATGAACAGCACTAGGTATTTAGAATGCTGATATAGAAATTAGTAAGACTCAGTCATTACTCTCAGAATTTATTCCCAGAAGATTTTTATCCTTAATAGCAGAGTAGAGGTCATGTTATGCTAGGCAATTCTGTTCTTCATGATGGAGAAATAATAGTAAGAATTATCAAGAAGCAGGTATTTGCTCATGTGTATGTGCGTATGTGTGCAGGTATTTTTCTAGCCACCAATTCCTTAAGTGTAAAGTATGGAAAATGCAAATATTTATTTATGCATAAAAGAACTGGGTTGTAAGAGGATTCACCACAGACAGAGTGTGGAGCAGAACACAGGTGGGAGCATAGGGGGAGACAGCAGAGGCCTGCTGTGCCATATGTGGGTCAGCTCCCTGGCTGGGAATCAAACTCAGGCCTAAGCGATGATAGTGCTGAAATGTAACCTCTATGCCGCCAGGGAGGCCTTGGAAAATGCAAATTTAAATGGTTCAATATCCAAGGTATTAAACCAGTTAAACAAGACAGGAATTAACAGAATGTACTACCAAGGATTAGTTATCTACCTAGGAGAGATGATGCCAATAAAGAATCCCCAGGGGGACAGAAAGACTGAAGATACATTGGCAAAACTCTTAGTTGCTTCACCTGCAGTACTAGGGATCAGTCCACTTGTAAGTGTAAAAGGACGTCTGGGGTGAAAATCTAACATGGAGAAAGGAGGGCAATCAGAAGTATCTGTTATAAAAGGGTAAGCATTAGAAAGGGAAGCTGAGCTAAAACTCAAACATTTCAGGTATGAAAAGAGATCACAGTCCCAAGTGGAGACTGGGTGTTCAGCCAAACCCCCACAGTATGTGACAGTAATGTATAGCAGAGGGTCTATCTCGATTCTGCCATTTCCACATCATGCAAATTTGAGCCTGTTACATAGCTCCTATGTGCTTTAATTCCTTAATCTGTTCAATAAGATTAATTCAGGGTCTATCTTATAATTGCATGTGGACATTAAATAAATTAATCCCTATAAAGTTTATGTGATAGTGTATGTCAGAAATAAATGCTTAGCAAAAATAAACTATCATTTTTATGATGGCTACCATTATGTTTCTTTCCCGAATTCTAAGTGGTAAGTACATTGGTTCACAAAATTTGGGCAATTCTATTAAAAATACATATGAAATAATCTGAAGGCTTGATTTGGCAGAACCAATGTGCAAGGTTAAGCTTAGTAGCTGAATAATTATTTTCATCTTTATTTTTTTGCTAAGTTCAGTATTTTGGTTATATGAAAGCATCTATTTGACTTTCATAAGAGGACTTTCCCTATTCTAAGTGGGGAAAGAAAAAGCTTTTGGTGAAGTCATTACCAGCTGCTTTTTCTGATTTTGATCCCTCCTTTCTTAATCCATTACGCTTGTTTTCATTCATTCAGTGCACTTTAGTTAAATTTCTTTCTCTCCCTTTTCACTTTCTTCCAAAATGCATTTGCTTATTAAACCCATTTTGTAAATGTGATACATTGATATGAGTTTCCTTCACATTTTTATGATGCTGACACCAGAAAATGCTAAGAAGATCTTCAAATTGTTGGGGTTTTATGTGACTTTGATGACAGGTAGTTTTAAAGCTTTCTTCTCTGCTGTGTGATTTTAGTAGTGGTGTCTTTTTTTTCACAATGCAAAAAATAACTTTCCTATAATGTTAAGTGAAAGAAACACTGATTGTAGAGATAAAGCAGAATTCTTACTCTAGAAAATAACAACATTAGAAAAATGAAATGTACAACTTAACCAGGGATATTTCAGGGCGCATGTCTTTTTTGGTTAATGATTCTTTGGGTAATAAATACTTGATCCTCTTTTTTAACAAAGCCAGGCTTGCTTCTGAGTCAGCATTGTGGTAAACCATGAAATGTTTTTAAATATTCTTTGCTCTTGTAAGGATTGTGAACTGGGAAATGACATCTAATCTTGGTATATATTTAGTTTGAAGTCATACTACAGAAGAATAGTATTTGAAGGAAAAAAGGATTCTTACACGAGGAGGCAGAAGGGTAGACAATTACTAGGAATGGGTAGAGGCTAATTTGTGCAATAAGAAAAACACTAATATTTAGTAATGATACTCATGTTTTCAAAGCACTATTCCTCCTATGTCCATCCCCTTTCTTCTTTCTAAATATTAGTCATGCATTTTTATTTATATGCCTTTTTGAAATGCTCTCATTTATTTATATAAATTCTCAGCCCTTCCCCCACCTTTTATTTTCAATCCACTCAGATGTGTTGCATGCCTGTGAATTATACCCCAAGTGTGACAGATGATGACTATTCGGAGGATGCCAAGTAGCAGTTGCCCTAGCAACAATAACCAGGGGATGCTTCTCAGGACTTCTGCCCCCTCTCTTCCCCATCATTTTCCTGGTTTTGAGAGTTTGTTAAGATGGTGACCAGAATTAACCAAAGCTGGTTTCCCCCACCTGATCATAATGAAAGCAAGAGAACCTAGACAGGTCTGCCTTTTTTTCCTACTATCAGGGAAATTCAGCACATCTCTGCAGTCAAGACTGAATGGAGGGGGAATCTTAGAGGGCAGAGAACTGTGTGCTCTCATATGAATAAACTCTCAATAGTGAGGGAATTAATTGTCAGAACTGCTAATGCAAACCACTTGTGAAGAATGGAAAAATCATTGTTGAATTTCCACACGTGGGCTAAAAGAACAGTGTGTAAATTAGATTGCAAAATGCTTTGTCCTGTAAGTGGAAATTTTCTGGTCTGTTCAGAAACTGATGTGGCAGATTAAACTTTACTTTCTCAAAAGAAGAAAAACTAAAAAAAAAAAAATAAAATAAAAAATGGAAAAAAAAAAAAAAAAAAAGAAGAAAAACTAAAGAAAAGGGGACAATGTAATCTAGATAGTAAGATGGAAAACTTCTCATTATCAATGACTTTATTGATCTTATATCCCTTCTCCTCAATATGTATTCACATTAAGCCAGAGGATGATATTTAAGGGAAATGCTATTTGGTAGCAGAAACAGAGTAGATTTTGTGAGGTAAAAGATGTTTAAACTTCAGGGTTTCTTACTTATAAGGACTCCTCCCAAGGCTGTGTATTCAAGTTCACCTTTGAAAATATATTACTTTTATTCTTAAAAAAATACTCTCTTGTTATATATACTTTTAAGCTCCACAAATAATGGATCCACCCATGAAGAAAAAAGGAAATATAAATAATTCATTTATTCACATATTATTACTATTTTGTCACTTTTTATGGCATTCCGATTTTTAACATTGTAGTTAGAAATCTCCAGTCTGTTTTCCCTTTTTTTCTTCTCTCTCTGAGGTATATCATAGATCTTTCATTAGTCTAACTTTTGCATGTATTTAAACAAAAACAATAAAAAATTAGTTTGATACACTATTGTAGCTTCAAAACTATTTAATAAATTATGAATAGAAAATCAACACGTAGATAATAGAAAAGAACTAGAACAAGATATTTTTCCTCTTTCATTTACTTATTATTTAGTTCTACCTGTGCTATCTTACAACAAATTATTAAAGTCCAATAGTATCTGGAGTACATAAATGCTGTGTACTGGTAAATGAAATAGAGAGTAATATCCATTGTCATGGATATAAACATTGTTACTTTAGCTCTAAAATAGATTTTTTTCCATTTTGTTTCTTGAGATATTTTGGTTATTGTTTCCAGTTTACCTCACCATCTCTAAATTAGTGTCCATAAAGTGCAGGAACTCTTTCATGAATACAAAACTCACAATGAACTATATTCCTCAGTACTGTTCTCCACAAAAAAACTAGAGTTTTATCATATGTTTCAGTTGTGGCACTAAGAGTAAGAATA